TTGTGTCAGAGTTCTGCGATGGGGTGGAAGAGATGGGCTGTAGTTTGCCCGCCATGTACTGTAAATCTAGAGATTATTTAATCCAGAGAAGTCCAGTCCTGCTCCTGGAAGGCCAGTGTGTCTCTAAAGTTTCAATCACTTTCAGTTTGCCATTTCATAATTTAGAATTGCAAATTATTTTGTCACACCCAATCAACTGTGTTTGACATCTTGACATCTCAGCACATGGCTATGACCCTGTGACCTGTGACTTGACTGGTCTTTTAACATGTGACGGGAGCAAGAGTAGACCCTGTCACCCACAGAGTGTAAATGAGATTGAGGGATGTCTAGAAGCCCAGTTGAAGTTGGATGAATGAAGGCCACAATGTGGGGAGTAGACAGATAACAGAAAGGCACTGAGCTGCCAAGCCATGTAGATTCTTATAGATGAGCATTAACTATTACTGGCTTATTCTGACCACTTATCAACCTCTTTCAACCCTTAACAGACACAGCAAACATTTTACAGCACAGACCCACCAGGACCAGGATCTCTAGCCCCTGATTTCGATATTGAAATCTGGCACATTATACACAAAAAATACAAAGTCTAGTTACAGTTTAATAATCAGAGAAGGAACAATGGAAATGCCCTTTTTGCTTTCTGTGTAGAACAATGGGTAGTATTTTTCTGTGAAATGTACATTAGCTGTGTAAATGAGATTTTGAGTCTCCACTTTGTAAAATGACAGCTGCCCTTCCTCACAATCTACATAGACCCCCACTCTCTGTGGAAGCAGATCCTGAGATAATGATGTTCGGGGTTCAGTAACGAAACTAAACTTGCCATTATGCCACAGCTCCACTGTCCAGGCCCCTTTCTCAGGTCTAAGGTATGTATTTCTAGGAGCAGATCCCCTGAAGATGCCCACACCCCAGTTCAGATTATCCCTCACCTCCACCTCCCAGTAATGCCTCCCTGAGATGAATCCCACTTTACCCAAAACACCCACATTGACAGTAAATCTTGTCGATGCAGAGGACTGAGGAACATCAGACAAGACTGCACGTTTCCCATCCTTGGAGATGTTCAGGCTGATGTGGGCCGTATCAGGGTCCAGGACTACATCAGCTGGAAAGAATGACAATGACAATATATACAGAGGTTTATGCCTAAACAAAGGAAATAACTTTTACATTCACTAGAAATTCTTTATATTAATTTCTTAAGAAATTGTAAGTGTTAGGTTGGAGAAAAAAAAATTAACTCATACAATATAACATATTCAATAGTATATCACATTATTTAATCTAATATTATCCAATGAAACTCTTCTGTTTCAACTATTCCCAGAAGAGTATATTTGTATACATTTATAGAAAACACTGTACAATGGCAGCCATTGATTTGGATACCTGATGCATTTTGAATCCATTTCCACACTAGGAGAAAGAAAAAACAAAAATTGTTAAATTGTTAAATTTTATGTATTAGGATACAGATTTTCTTCCAAGGATTACTCAAAGACAGACACATTTTTTTTTCTTATTCAACAAGTGAATACTTCCAAGTATAAAGGGCATAAATGCTCTCTACATCTTTATATAGATGATCCTGTACCTCCTCCCAGAGGGTAGGAGAGTACATTCTAAAAAGAGTGGATGAGGGGGGTCGACAAAGATTTTATGTACAAGATATATGTAAATATGTTGCCTGGTAAGACAAGTTATAGAGTCCAAGGATGTGCCAGTAATGTTGCCAGCACTGCCAACGTTGTTTGGATTAATATTCAAACCTATCTGTGGCAAAAGAACAGGCTCTTTTACAGTGTGAGTCTGATAGGAAAGGAAAAATGAATATGTATTTTTCCTTCACTAAGCAACTACAAGAGCTAAGACACTCTCCCCAGAGTCATGGAAAACAATTCTTAGCCATGATTCCTTGAATTTAAAATTCTGCTCAGATAAACTTGAAAGATTTTGTCATAATGATCTTAAATATTGTTATTCTTACCTGCTCTAGGTATGCTTCCTTCTCTCTCTGTAAAGAGCACACAACACATGTACAATGTCAGATATTTAATTTTTTCCATCATATATAAATGATACTGATTTATTTCAGTTATCGGTGTAAGAGGAATTGATAAATGTTAGTTTCCTGGTGGTCAAAGAACATTTCCTTTTGAACTCAGCCCATACACAAATAACAAGATTAACTTTATGACACCTAATATTAATTGAGCATATGTGCAAAGAAAGAAAAGAAATAAAACTTCTGCAACTGTATAGATGACTTTAGAAAACATTTTCTTAATACATCGATACATCTCCAAAACTTCAATTTCTTTGTTGTCCTTTGGAAAAGTTTGAAGAAAGAAGAGTAATACACAATACAACTTAGAAAGCGTAATGTAATTCCTTTTTGACAGAATCCTCCTGACACATGAGCATGAATAGACAAACATATGATAGAAATTAAACTCACTTACTGGATATTTTAGTAAGAACAGAGCAAGCTTAATGAAGTGAAGAGAGAAAAAAACAAGATTAGTGACAACATGGTGGGACACTGACGCTGTGTGAAGTTTGGCTCCGCCTAGTGTTCACAAGCAGTCAGGGCTCAGCTCTCCGTATCTAGATCAGCAAAACCTTCTCTCTTACATGGTGACCAGATTGTCCACAACGTTCTAAACAAGCTATGATATTTTCGCTTGATATCAGTGTACTTTTGAAGGTACTTGTATTTGTTTTGCCATTTTATTGCTTCCCTACATTGTCTGAAAGAACAATGTGAAGCTTCAACATAAGTCTTTTCTGGTTCAATGTGTTTCACACTTTGTATTTCACATTTGTTCTTCTTTCCTGCATGCAAAGGCAGCACAAATCCTTCACCCTGATGATGTTTATTATTACTTTATTAGACAGCATCTGCCAAGGATTTTCCCTAAATGTTCAGAAAAGTCTACAATTTTATATGGTTTTTTTATAATTGTATTTGCTATTTCTACTATTTCTATTTCTAATATTTTCTAATCCTCCTATTTAATATTATTTGCTATCTTGACCTAAAAAAATATGCTAAATCTGACAGCTTGCGTAGAAGTCTCTTTTGAGTCAGCAGTGGATGGAAATAATACAGAACAGAAAACTTTGAAAATCCACACTTGTACCAACCCATCATATAGCTGCTGTTGCACAGCTGGACCAGGGTGTGTCTCTTTATGGCGTTGTTGCAGCGTTTAGCTTTTCCATGAACATCAGTCAAATTGTCTTGCAGGTTAAAACAGCTGTTGTGAATGTCCTCCAGTATTGTCCGCAGTTCTAAGTATAAAATGACAAGTTTACAGTATGTAGCTGTGCTTTTCAAGGAACACAAAGCAAAGGCACACATTATATGTTACAGAAACAATTATAAAACAAATTGACTATTCTGAAACCACGAGTAAGGCAAAATAATACATTAAAAGCTTTGGTGAAAAGATTTGAATAACTATTTGTCTTCTCACTATTATCTCCAGTAACTGCTGAAGGACCCTGAGTTTCCTCAGAATGATCTTTTCTTTATTTTGTCTAGAGAAGATATTGGGACACTGGAATTGGGGAGATGGTATACTGTAAGTGTAGGTTTAAGCAACTAATTGTTCCAGTGGGTTTACAATAGCAGCAGCCATATCACTCTGCAACTCACAACTGGCAACCCACTGAAGCTAAGCAGGCGTGAGCCTGGTCAGTACCTGGATGGGAGACCTCCTGGGAAAAACTAAGGTTGCTGCTGGAAGAGGTGTTAGTGGGGCCAGCAGGGGGTGCTCACCCTGTGGCCCATGTGGGTCCTAATGCCCCAGTACAGTGACGGGGACTCTATACTGTAAACAGGTGCTGTCCTTTGGATGAGACGTAAAACCACAGAGAGTCACTCTGTGGTCATTAAAAATCCCAGGGCGTTTCTCAAAAAGAGTAGGGGTGTAACCCTGGTGTCCTGGCCAAATTTCCCATTGGCCCTTACCAATCACAGCCTCCTAATAATCCCCACCTATGAATTGGCTTCATTACTCTGCTCTCCTCCCCACTAAGAGCTGATGTGTGGTGAGTGTTCTGGTGCACTATGGCTGCCGTCGCATCATCCAGGTGGATGCCTCACATTGGTGGTGGTGGAGGGGATCCCCATTACCTGTAAAGCGCTTTGAGTGGAGTATCCAGAAAAGCACAATATAAATGTAAGCAATTACTTTAATTATTATTATTAAAATAAAAACTGACACAGACCAGCCAAGAATGTTAGCAAACCTACTGCAGTGTTCATCTGTATCTGTGTTGATGACCCGAGGACCCAGGCTCTAATGATCACCTGGGACTGAGACCTGAGAGGCGTCATTGCGCCCTGAAACACAACAACTTACCCAGATAGGTAAATAACAATACCTTGTTTAAAAGCAGAGGAGCTCCTGTTTGAAGATGAACAATTTATGTACATATGGGAGGTGCTTGGGGATAGAAATTGGGCAGATCTTGTTGGCCTGAGAAAATCTTAAATAAAAATCAGAAGAGAATTACAGTCATGGTATTGGAATGATCCTATGATTTTGTTTTGAACAAGGTTTTAAATAAACCTACTTTCCCAATAACCAAACACAACACAACAGTCTTTTTGAATTACACATAGGGCTTTTAAAAATTAACTTCATTCATATCGCACGGACAATTAAATCATCTTCCATCGTCATTTCTCTTTTCCTGCTATATCTTTAAGACGGTAGAGGTGTAAAAGGTACTGTAGTTACAGCACTGGAGAAATAATTATATTGGAATAGAGATTCTATCAGAATAGTGTCCCACAGGAGGCGGGAAATACTGGGATATACTGTACAATAGTAAATAAAGAGGCAAGGAGATATAAAAGACAGCATGCAGACAAGTCAGGAATGACTGTGCTTCCTGAGAATACAGAAAGGGATTCTGCTGTGCCTACTGGAAGTACAGTTGCTGACGAGCTAGTGAGTGAGGGAGGAGAAGCTGGGAAGGTAACACTGATACACTTCATGTTTTGTCCTCAGAATTCCACTGTTCTGAACAGCCCAGGCATCATACTAATTTGTCTTTGACATTTCTGCTACAAATATCGAAATACACATCAGTAACTGTACTTACAATAAGAACTGAAGATGACAGCTGTTATCAGGAGCACACAGCTCAAACCTGAGCAGATGAGGGCCAGGATCTTGTACGGAGAACCGTCTCTTTGGAATTTCTTTTCCTGAACTGAAAATAAAACTTTCTAAGACATTCAGTTTTTTCAACATATCTCTCCAAAGGTATACGGAAAATCATACGGACAACCATTTCCTCAGGACTTTATTAAATTATAGATACAGATATAGAGATACTGTGTATCAAAGTTACTTTGAAGTTCATTGGCTTGCCTGCATTTACAGTACCAACACTGCAATGGTTTTGACATTGTGTATTAATGGTGTAACAAATGTGTGCTGTGTTAAATTACATTTTGTAACACATCACCTGTGTAACTGACCACATTGTAATTGATCCAGATCATTGGAAATAGGTAATATAATGGCCATCCTATCATGTTTGCCCTGGCTACTGGACTGTGGGTTATCTAATCACCAGGAGCTCCTGTGAATAAATTCTTGGACCTGGCAGAGCTCAGGACTCTGCAATTGAGTGTGGACACTGGGCACCCCAAGCTTTGCTCCAAGTATTTCACCTCTCTGGTTTGCCTGTTTTCTAATCCCTGCTTCGTTCTCCACTAGGTCCCCGGATCACCCCTCCGGCTTTGTTTGCTTTGTTTCACTGTCCTGGAATTAGACTGTTGCTCTGTCTTGACTCCTGATTTAGCCCCTTGGTTGGTATCCTTTCTCTCTTGGTTTGAATCCTCGTCTGTAAGACCACGGACTTGGAATGTGTTTCCTTGGCCATCCGCAGTACTTCATTCCCCTGTGTGTTTGGCTACTCAGTTCGTCAGTCTGCAAGCAACCTGCTCTCCAGCTCCAGAGGGCACAATCCCCTGCCCCCACCAGTGTCAACAATAAAGGAGGTAGTGTGTGTAACGAACAGTTCTTTCCGGACCCTATGCAGAGGACACAATCCAGGGAAAAGTGAAGAAAACATGGGGGAAAAAGCATGCAGGATACAGGGATGAAAACAGGGGGCATGTCCTGGGTGCGCTGGTGTTTGGGGGAGGTGTGGCCAAGGCACACAATCCAGGAAGAAGTCCAAAGGAGAATCCAAAAGGAGGAAAAAGTCCAAAGCT